GATTAGGAGAAGTGGACAAAACAATGTGCAATATAACAGCCACTGTTGAATGCCTTTCACACTTTTTTTAAAATGTGTATTGTCTCTAATGTGTTATTGAAGGATTTTTTTTTCCGGCCTGGCTCAGGATGCCTTAACGGCAGGTCTGGTAAGGCATGAGCACCTGGGGATCAAACCACACTATCCTAAGCCTGACTACCTTTGCTTAAGCAGGCATTTAAACAACTGAGTTAATGGGCAGGCCCCCCTCTATTGTCTTATTGAAATGAAGAGTTAATGCTTAATTATTTGACCTGTCTTGTATGCATATATCTGGAGAGCAACAAATTTGATGATATAAATGTGTAGTATAACAACAATTGTTAAGAATCTATTCCTGTTTTGAAATACCGTGTTATTTTTATTTTATGCTGCATTGTTTTTGCCTTTGTCCTTGTTATTTGTTTTTATTCTCTAGAAAATGAAAAATGGCATATTCCACATGGATGGAACATTCAAATACCCTAAAAGAAAATGCCATGTAATTAAAGTACAGATCATATAAGGCTGAGGGTTGAGACTTTTTCTTTATATCTATAGATCACTGAGGTTTAAGACTGTTGCACACCATAAATCCCACTTTGGAAATACTATGTTTTGTGTACATCATGGTTTGGAGGAATCACTTTCTTACTGAATATTTTCTATTTTTGTGGCTTATGTAGTTTTTTATCTCAAAGCGTAATTATTATTATTTCTAATGTCCTCTGAAATACAAGACTTGTTATGTACTGTACCATGTGGTTATTTTGAGTACATATTTATCGTAGGCTGTGACAAACATGATACTTTAAAAAAAATGTATGTGTACATTTGGGGAACAATGCACCCATTAGTATCAATCAATATATTCATCCAGTATCTAACATATATAGTATACAAAATAGATTGAAACACAAATTAAAAATCATGTGCAATTGAAAATCCTGTGAGTTGACACTAAAACTATACTGAGAAAAAATATTTATTCTTTATGTGTGTATTTCTATGCAGTTAGGTATTTAAATAAAAACTGTGAAGTTCTGCATTTGAAATATTCATCACACACTAGCAAAAAGTAGAGCAAATTGATCCCAAAGAAAATGAAAGATGGAACATAGTCAGAAAGGAATTTTTTAAAAAGTAAAAGAGAAAAATTAATCACAATGAAATCTGATTCTGGTAAGCAAAAGTGACAATTCTTGGTACAATTGATCAAGAAGAAAGAAAAACTGAAAACTTTTTATAATATGACAAATTTGATCATTAGCATCAATATATAGAAAACTTTTATTATGATAATATAAGTAATTGCCCATCAACCTATGACTTGAAATCTATAAAATCACAGGAAAAAATAACAAATCAGATCTAAGAAGAAATTAAAAGTCTTCATAATACCAATACCTCCACAGTAGAACTCCATTGTATAATACTTCACTCCAAATTTTGTTGGTTAGTAATATCAGCAATAAAACTTATAAGCATTCAAAAAATACACTAACACAGACCTGATTCTTTCAGATGAAATGAAAAAAAAAAAAAGAAAAGGTATTTCATTTTAAGACAAGAACTAGATTGCTTTACCCATAGATGAAAACACACTTTGAAGAAAAAGGTTAGTAGTCCTCTCTCCTTTTTAACTAAATTCACATATTCTATTTCAAATTGAGGGATATAAGATCACAGAATTAGTGAAAATGTTCCTAAAATTTATTTGGAATGAGAGGAGACTTAGCAAACATAACCCTAAAGAACAAGAGCAAAATAGAAGACACCATAATTACTGATTTAAATTATACTACAAAGTGTACTAAAAACAGCACAGTAGAGGCATAAAACAGACATGAGGATCAATGGAACATATTAGAAAATATAGAAACAACTCTAAAACACTCTGCCACCTTATCTTTGACAAAGAGTCAAAGCACACACAATGGAAGAAAGAGATCCTTTTGAATAATCAGTGCTAGGAAAACTGGCTTTCCACATGCTGAAGACTAAAACAACCTGTTTCTATCACCAGATTCTAAACCAAAATCAAAATGCATTAAAGATCTAAACATTAAAGCAGAAATACTAAATCTTCTGTAAGAAATAATAGGTGGACCTCTTGAAGACATGGGTGTAGACAAAGATTTCATTAAGAAAACTCTGAATGCATGAGAAATACTACAGAAAATCAACAAATACAATCTCACTCCAGTAAAAAATTTTGCACAGCAAAAGAAATTATAAAGTGAATGGACCACCCATGAAGTCAGAAAAATTTAGCCAGTTATCCCTCAGATGATATTTTTGTTAATTTTTTTAGGTTTTCTTTCTTTGTGTGTGTGTGTGTGCAGGGTCTCACTACACAGTCCAGACTCATAATGATCCTCCTCATTTCTATCTCCCAAGTGCTGGGATTACAGGCGCCTGCGACCACACCCAGATCCCATCGCCTGGGGGTGGGGCCAGCACGGCATGCAGAGCCAGGGATCGAACCCTGGCCCCTGAGCTTATCTAAGCAAGCACTTAGTCCACTGAGCTATACCACCAACCCGCCTCAAACACTATCTATGACATATAAAGAATATCTAATATATACAACATATAAAGAATTGAAAAAATTAGACACATCCCAAATTTAAAGACCCAATCCAAAAATGAGCAAAGCAGATGCATATACGCTTCTCAGATGCAGAAACAGAAATGAAAAGTTAATACATAAAAAAATATTCAACACTATGTATTACAACAAAACCTGTGAAATTCATATTACTTTTTTAAGTGAAAATCTGTATCATTTATAATTTTTTCTGCTTTAATTCTAGTTTGTACTCTCTTCAAATAATAAAAATAAATTAAAAAGAAGAAAAAATGTTCAACACCGTTGCTGATTTGATGTTTTTTTTTTTTTTCCTTGTGGTGGTACCAGGGATCGAACTCAGGACCTTGTGCTTGCCAGGCAAGCACTTATTCCACTGAGCTATCTCCCCAGCACCGTTGCTGATTTGAGAGATGCAACTTAAAACAGAACAGTGCTGAGATTTCATCTCATTCCAAAATAATAGCTCTTTTCAAAAAATTAACCACTAACAAGTGCTGGAGGGGCTATAAGGAAAAAGGAAACTTTCTCCACCTTTGGTGGGAGTGTAGACTAGTGCAACCACTGTAGAAACCAGTATGAAGATTCCTCAACAAATTAGGATTAGAGGCTCTATTCGATGCAGCCATTCCCCTTGTTGGTATCTACCCAAAAGAATTTAAAACATCATAGGGGCTTTCAGGTTAGCTCAGTTGTTTAAAGCACCTGCTTGGACAAACTCAGTCAGGTGCAGGGGACCATGGCTCAATCTCCAGCTCTGCAAGCCTCACCAAACCTGCCCTCAACAGCCTGAACTAGCCAAAAAAAAAAATCCTTCTCCAAAATTATGGGTCATGCCCATGTTTGTAGTATAACAAATTATAGTAATAAATAACCAAGCTACCCAAAAATTGATGAATGGATAAAAAACTAGTGAATGAATATAAAACACTTTTTTTTTTTTTTTTAGGACAGGGTCTTCAGGATCTGTAGGATCTCACTGTGTACATCAGACTTGTAGTGATCTTCCTATTTACAGCCTCTCAGGTGCTGGGATTACAGGTGCACACCACCACACCCAGTCTCAATCACTGTCTCAGCACACCCCAGGGGCAGGGCTGACACGGCAGGACTGGGGATCGAACTCCCAGACCCTGCCTCTGCCTAAGCAGGCCCTTTAATCTGTTGAGCTATTTGGCCAATCCCAAAAAACACATTTTTATAAGATGGAGTATTGCTCGTTTGAAAAAGAAGAATAAACTTGAGATATTTCTAGGTAAATAGATGAATGTTGAGACTCTTTATTTATTTCACTCTTAACTCTTAAGAGTAATAAATCTGACACACTTGTGTAAATGCTGCGTTTTTATCTGCTGTGAGATACCAAAAGTGTAACAAGGACCAAAGTGCATGAAGGATATTGTGAAAGAAAACAGGGGTGCTAGAGAGGGACAGGGAGAAAGAAAGGAAGGCTAAAGGAAAAAATGAAAAAAGAATAAAACGGAAACAAAGCTTTGTCAAAAAAAAAAAGAGAGAAATAAATCTTAAAGAGACAAGAAGAGAGTGGGGAAAAAAGAGGATTAGGGATATATCTTGTACAGGTACAAGTTCCCCATAATGCATGTGATCACTATGTATATCTAAAATGTACCCATATTTTTTTTATTTTTTACTCATTTTAATGAGAAAAAAAAGATAACAATGAAACAATTCAAAACAGGTTAGTGTGGCAGTTACAATAATTAATGCATTATATATTGTTGTCTTCATAGTAGTTATTCAGAGGACAAGATGTAGACATGAAATCTTGTCTAAACATTATTAATACAAACATTTCCTCATTGAACTAAGAGAAAGTAGCTGTATATCTATTCTATCTTGTATATACATATATTTCTTTCACTAAAATTGTCCTTTATTTATATCCTCTTTTTTTGTTTCATTTTGTCAGAGATGGTTGTTCCATTGCTGTTAGAGATACTGTATTTGGAGAAGTCTTTAAAGAGCCTTTTCATATTCAATGCCAGTCCGAATATTATAGCTACTGAAATTCAACAAAATAACCCAATTCTTTACAGTCCTGACTTTTGTCAAAGCTGTTCTATCAAGAGCTAACATTCAACTGCTACCAGTTACAACTTGCAAAATGATTTAATTTTAATCCTCTTAAGGTGCAGACCTTGCAGCGCTAAAAATGGAGTGTGACAGTATGTAAGAATCCCGAAGCCTTCACATGGAACTCAGAGTGAGAAGACATGAAAATCCACCCATCCACGCCTGCTTCAAGTAGACAAGACAGGGATGGGAAACTGGGGTTCAGAGCAATGAGGTGATTTCTCAGGCAGAGCCAGGATGCCAACCCAGAGGTCGCAGGTGTCTCCCACACAGGTTGCTTCCTCATATCCTCACCTAGCTGGTGCTCTAAGTCAGCCCTGTCAGCTGCATGGGGCAGCCCCTCCACCGAGCCATTTCCTGAACAACCAAAGGTGGAGAAGGGTTCCTTTTTCCCTCAACCCTTCCAGCATTTGTTATTGGTCAATTTGTTGATAATACTCTTTCTTTCTGGAGTGAGATGGAATCTCAACATTAAATTTGCACCTCCAGAGTGATCAGTGATGTTGTCATTTATCCTGTGTCTTTATTTCCCATTTGTACTTTTTCTTCTGAGATGGCATCTCAGATGCCCATTTTTAGATTGGTTCTTTCAACTCTAACAGTCTGATTTTTTTTCAACTCTTCATATGTTTTAGATGTTAGCCCTTTGTCTGAAGAACAATTGGCCATGATTTTGACATTACACTTCACGTTTTGATCAATACAATGAAGATAAGAAAGCACAAACACAAAAATCTGTTCTGGAAAGGGGAAAAAATTAATATCAATGTCTAGGATAACAGTTTATAAGTATAAAATCCATGTACATTAATAATTGATATTGGAGAGCCTGCAAGATAGCTCAGTGGACTAAAGCACCTGCTTAGGCAGAGCACAGCGGCTGGGGTTCAATCCCTAGCATGCCCTTCTGGCCCTGCCCCCAGAGCTCACTGAGATGGCGATTGAGACATGCCTGTAGTACCAGTGCGTGGGAGGCTGAAAACAGGAGAATCACTATGAGTACAATCTACGTAATAAGACCTGGTAGAGCCTGTAGACGCTGTACCAAATACATGAAGGAAAAAAAAAAAAAAAACGAGATGCGGCGATTCATGCCTGGAACTCACTCGCTGGTCGCAAGACTGAGGCAAAGGCATTTCATGTCTAAATGGTACTCAACAATGATGTGAATTAAGCTGATTCTATCTCAAAATGAAAGAATATAAAAAGGCTGTGAATATATCTGAGTAAAACGTTTGGGATCTATCCCAAGCATTAAAAAGAAAAAATAAATAAATAAAAAAGATAAAACCACAAAAGTTTGAAATGTGACACCACAGTTCAAGTCCAATGTGTTTCTGGTGACTGGCCTGTGAATAGCAAATGATAAACCTATACATGTGACAATTTTGTTTTTTGCCAGATATGGAGCAGTGTGTGAAGTGTCCAGATCATCAGTATACCAACATTCACAGAAATCACTGTTTTCAAAAAGTTGTGTCTTTTCTGGCTTATGAAGACCCCCTGGGGAAGGCTCTGGCTGGCACTGCCCTGAGCTTCACTGTCCTCACAGCTGCTGTTCTTGGGCTCTTTGTGAATCACAGAGACACTCCCATCGTCAAGGCCAACAACAGGGCTCTCAGCTACACCCTGCTCATCTCCCTCACCTGCTGTTTCCTCTGCTCCTTGCTCTTCATTGGCCGGCCCAACACAGGCACCTGCATCCTGCAGCAGACCACGTTTGGACTTGTGTTCACTGTGGCTGTTTCCACTGTCTTGGCCAAAACCATTACTGTGGTGCTGGCCTTCAAGGTCACTGCTCCAGGCAGAAGAATAAGGAAAGTGTTGATATCAGGGGCCCCTAACTTCATCATCCCCATCTGCTCGCTGACCCAGCTCACTCTCTATGGAGTCTGGATGGGGACAAATCCACCTTACATCGACACAGATGCACACTCTGAACAGGGTCACATCATCATCGAGTGCAACAAGGGCTCCCTCACTGCCTTCTACTGTGTCCTGGGATACCTGGGCTCCCTGGCCCTGGCGAGTTTCACTGTGGCTTTCCTGGCCAGGAACCTGCCTGACACCTTCAATGAAGCCAAGTTCCTGACGTTCAGCATGCTGGTGTTCTGCAGTGTGTGGGTCACCTTCCTGCCAGTGTACCACAGCAGCAAGGGGAAGGCCATGGTGGCCATGGAGGTCTTTGCCATCTTGGCCTCCAGTGCAGGGCTGCTGGGCTGCATCTTTGTCCCCAAGTGCTACATTATTCTGTTAAGACCAGAGAGAAATTCTCTGACTAGAATCAGGGACAAGAAATATTCTGTGAGAAAGGGCCTTTCTTATCATTAATTTGTTTTGGGTTTTTTTCTTATCATTAATTTCTTTTCTGCAATACAGGAGCCTGAAAATCGAAACTGATCCATGATTGAGGTCACATATTACATTATGTTTCAGGAGGTATAGCCATAATAGCTGATGCCTCTTTTTCTAACAGTATAATGGTCCCTAGAAACTGTAGTCATCATCTTCATAATTTTAGTTTTATTCTGGATATTTTTGTGTTTCCTCCTATTTATGTTTGAATTCATTTTATGGTCTCTGACTGTGATTGTATAATTCACTTGTATCTTTTATTCCGTTTGGTTTTCTCAGTGCTTTTCTGATGTAAAAGAAAATAAATTCATTCCTTTATGTCACTGTAGTTCTGAGTCTTTTAATATATTTCATTAATTATTTTTCTTTTTGAAGAAATATGCTACCTTCCATGTGCTGACTATAGTACATTTTGGTGGCTGGTTTATGTTCATCTTCTCCCATGGCATTTTTGCAATATTAATTACACTACCTTTTATCTTATGAGACAGAGCTTCACTATGGAGTTCAGGCTGGCCTTGGATTCACTTTGTAACCCAGTCTGGCTTTGAACTCACAGCAGTGCCCCTGCCTCAGCTTCCTAAGCACTGAGATTACAAGAGTGAACCACCACTCACAGACAATTACACTATTTTTTAACCATCTCTGGCTCACATGGCTTTTAAGATTCTAGAATTGGTTCCTCATATACAAGCACAAATACTGTTTGTTATATAATGCCAATGCATTGAGCCTTTGATAATTACAGAGTAATTTGTAGAACTTGTAGAAATTCAATAAAAAGCTTTCTCATCCAAGATGTATATTTCCACTTCTTGTTTAATCAGACTCCACTAATGACAGCTGTCTATGTGTATAATGTCCATTTGCATTACCCTATGTGTGCAATAAAGTTTCTTGTCATGTTCATAGCCAGGTATTTTAAAGAGCTTTCTGATAATGTGATAAGAAATGGTTCACCTGCCACACTTTCTTTACTGTATATATATACTTATGCATTCATTTCTGGATATGTTAGTGTATGCAGGTATTCCCAGCACTGCAGGGCACAGAAGCTGGAGACTGCAGGTTTGACCTCATCCTGGGCTAGTAGGAGATTTCTCAAGCATCTGTCTGAAAAATGAAATCACAACAGTTGTGTGGGCATAGCTCTCAGCACACTCACACCTGCTTTTGAACCTCTGATTCATTATTTTCTTTCATTTTTTAAAGTGAAGAATTTGGGCTGGTGAGATGGCTCAGTGGTCTAAAGCACCTACTTAGAACAAGCTTAGCAAAGCACAGGGACCGCAGTTCAATCCCCCAGCTCCACATGCCAACCAGCCCCGCCCCCTGGTGGGCTAAGCTGGCCACACACACACACACACACACACACACACACA